TTAAATAATAGATTGTTTGTCAACATAGGAACAATATCACAATAACTACATTCTCCATTTATGTTATGATCCTTCGCTACTTGGTACTTTATACTGCAGTTTCCAGAAATATCATGTACCCATGATTTTAGTACTAAGCACTGCCCATTGTATCAAAAGCCAAAAAGGAAAAAAAAAATAAAAAGAAGAAGAAGAAAAAAGGGCTCATGTAGCCATTTATAGTTTCTTCCTTTTTATATTTGCTCCAACATTTTCTGATTGTAGTCTTTTTGAGCCATTGTTTGGGCCCAAAATGCTAAAATGCCCTTCTTTAACCATTTCGGACATCAACATGAGTTTCTTATTTTTGAAATTATACCCAAAAAAAAAAAATACAATAAATCCATTTGGGCTTTGTATAGAGCTCAAGAAAATCAATGGTCATCTCATTACACTCAATAGATAAAAGAAAGCCATAATCATCCAAAAAAGCCCATAAATTCCTTTTAGTCCAATGAAAGTAAAATCCAGTTATCTTGGTTGCTTAGTGCCCAGCCCACCTTTGCCAAAAGACAGAGAGAAGCTCATTCAAAATTCAGCATTTCACTCAGATAATTACAAGACAATATAGTAACATAAATGAACCACCCATTTAATTAGAGGGTAAAATCGATAAATGCATGCTTTTCATCCTTTTTTTTTTTTTTTTTTGCCCCTCTAAACCTGAAATTGAAACTTTCTATTTCTCGTTTTTCTTCTTTGCTGCTTCTATTTATAGATTTTTATAACATGTACTTGAAGAGTACACTATACAAATTAATAGTATTTTTTTTATAAATATAAATAAAAAATATAAATGTTAATATAAATTTTAGTGACAATGTTATAGTTATATGTTATTAAATGAGTGGATAAATATAATATCATGGATATATATCTGAATAAAAAGAATTAATTATATAAAGACACAAGTTTACAATATCACATTGCATTATCACTATATATAGTATGTTCATAATTTTAGTTTCATTGTCAAGTAGATGAATTTAAATGAACCGTTGATAAATTAAAAGTCAATTTTTTTTATCTAATATAACATAAAAGTATATTTATTATATTCTTAACTTGTACAATAAAAAATACATGTTAGAAAAAATTTTTATTTATTTATTTTTTGGTTGCATAATAGGAAGCAACATTCTCCTATTGCTTAATTCACTTCACTTGGATGTCATTTAATTCAAATTCAAAATCTAATACTTTTACTAAAGGATTACAAGAGGAGCATGCCTAGATTTGCCATCCCTTGGAAATAATAATTAGCCAATATTGTTCCCCCAATTGCCCCTAAATGAAAATCAAGACTTGATTAGCCTATGTGCTACAGCTTGAAGCGAAACGGTGTGCGTAACATCACCAATATGAAGATTATGTACACCCAATGGAATTCTTCGCACACCTGCTGTATCTATGATACTCAAGAACTTACACACATGGATGTGGATTCTTACCCGCTGCCGAGCACCAGCCGGAATATGTACTTTTTCAAATGCAACCAATTGCTTGTGAGGTGCCAAATGACCAGCTGGTGGCTCAGAAAAGACTAGCAAAGTGTGAGTACCATCTTTGGACCCAACATTCTTAACATCCACGTGAAGAACTAATGATAATTTGTCACATTTTGCGTGGCTGACCTTAATTGATTGGTCGGAAAAGGTGCAATTTCCAGAACGGTGGCAGCCAAAGATAGGGACATGCACCACATTTGGAGCGCTAGCTATGGTGTTAACAAAGTTGGTGTAACTCAAACCATGCCCAAATGGGTACACCACCGGACCTTTGTAAAATCTGTATGTTCTTCCGGGGTAGCCTTTAATTGAACTTGGTCGCATTGACATTTCTGTCATTGGCAAATTTGAAACGTAGTCTTGTGGGTACCATGTCATAGGAAGCTTCCCTTCAGGATTAGTCGTACCATACAGCACATCAGCAATGGCTGCACCACCGGCTTGGCCTGGGTACCCAGCCCAAATAATGGCAGAAATGCGTGGGTCATTTTTGGCAAATGACACATCAATTGGCCCACCAGACATTAAGACCAAAATAGTTGGACCCTTAGAGGCCATTGCTACTCGAGATACAAGATCCTGTTGGCGCCCTGGGAGAAGCAGTCCTATCCTATCAATGAATTCTGCTTCTATAGATTGGTCCAGCCCCATTACTAAAACCGTTGCATCTGCTTGGTGAGCGGCATTAATTGCCCCTCCGAACAAAGTGTCATTGGAACAGGCTACATCGGCGCAACCAGGTTGGTAAATTGTCTTAGCATAGTTCCTGATTCCTTGGAGCGGAGATGTGTATTGACATGGAAACCCTAGAAATTGAAAAAAAAAAAAAAAAAGGATCAAATTTAGAATGAATGAACATAAAACAATTAAATACAAATAAAGGAAATGGGATTTATAAATTCACCGGCATAGTTTCCGATCATAGTGTCAGTGACATTGGCATTAGGCCCAATGACAGCAATAGTGCGGTGACGGAGATTGGATAAAGGCAATGAAGGGCGATCATTCTTGAGAAGAACAATGCCTTGTCTTGCGGCTTCCAAAGCGAGCTCTTGGTGAGCCGGGGTGCACACGTCTCTTGGACCTAGGTTACCAAATGGTTGGGTAGATGGCTCGCCATCGTACATGCCAAGTCTCATTTGGACAGCAAGTGTGTTAAACAATGCACCATCAATGTCAGCCTCACTCAACAAGCCCCTATTTAGAGCTTTTTCTGTGTAGTTTGCTAGAAAAGTCCCACAGTCCAGGTCTAAACCTGAAATATATGTAACAGTTCGCGACCAAAATATCATTTTTACTTCATTAGTACTATATTAATTCTTCAATTTAATTATTTGATTAAGTTGATTAATCTCTAACCTGCTTTAATAGCAACCGCGGCTGCTTCTTCAGGTGTTGATGTATAATGTTGGGCATTATAAAAAACGTCAACTGAGTCACAATCCGAGACAATGTACCTATGTGCCAAGATCATGAACTAATTAAAAGAGACAATCATAGATTACTTACGGAATAATTAGTAAAAATAATTCTTAATCCATAAGAAAGTTAAAAAATGATTATTGTTAAGAGACGGAAGAAGTAAATGTTAGGCTCTTAGCTTACCCGTTGAGACCCCATTGAGACCGTACAGTCTTCTTGAGGAGATTAGGATCGGCACAAGTGGGAACCCCATTAACCTTATTGTAAGAACACATCACACTTGCTACATTACCCTCCGTTACACACATCTTGAAGGGTACATTGAATGTGTCCTCCATATCCTGCTTGGTTACCTGCACGTCGCGAAAACATGAAATTTTCAGACCAATTTGTTTGCCTGCAAAGGAAGTAAGTAGTATTTTGGATTATCATTTTCCTTGGAATTTTTCCGGTCTCTTGATTATCAACAAATTTCTTTTGGAAATGAAGGTAAAATACTTACCTAATCCAATTAATTTGGAAATTAAGTGAATTACCACTGACCTTAGCATTGAAATGGTATCTATCGACTCCGTTCCAATCATCAAGGTCATATGCGGTTAAGTGCTTACAACAAGCAGCAACCTTGAGGCGGTCGCCGTTATTTCCCTGCAATCCTTTGACATAGCTAGCTGCATATACTCCAGCCATCATTGGGTCCTCACCGGGTGTCTCCTGGCCACGGCCCCACCTAGGGTCTCTAAATATGTTCACGTTCGGGCTCCAATAGGTGAGCCCCGCTGCACCACCGTTGTACATTGCCCTTGCCTCGTCTGACACAACCTGTCAATTAGATCATATATAATTGATTTAATTGTAAATTCTATTGTTGAGTAACACATTATAATAAAAATATATAGGGTATGTTACTAATGTAGCAGTTGTGATACTCTAAATTTCACATTGATAGTATAAATGATATATATGTGTGAAAATCAATCACTACTAACAAAACAATAATGAGTTTTAATTCAAGTTCTATCGATAGTAACGTTTTACCTCTTGCTTTATTATTAAACTGCAAATTGATCTATGTTGAAACTAATAGATGAAAAAAGAAAAAGGAAATAAGACTGACCTGTCCGATTGCTTCCCACAATGTGACATTAAAAGAAGCGGCAGTGGTAATGACTTGAGGGAAGCTAGTGGCGCCAGAGAAGTCATCATCAAAGATGACTCCTGGGCCGGTAAAGGAGACCCCATGAAGTGCCTCAGACCACCACTCGTACTCTTTAATCCCCAGATGAGGGACTGCCGCTGCTTTGTTTACTAGCAGCCTAACCTTTTCGTTCGTCGTCAACCTTCCTACTAAGTCCTTGACCCTTTCCGAAATTGGTAATGTTGTCCGGCAGAACGGTAACCCCGCTGTCCTTGCATCTCTAGGATCACAAGCAAATGGGTCGCGAGCCAAGGCCTTACCCAAAATAAGTAGAAAGAAAAAAGTGAGAGATGTGTGTACGGTAGCACTAGCCATTTTGGACTTAGTAAAATGAAGAAAAGTTTATGTTGAGGATGCAGAATCAGGCTGCAGAATATAGAATATTTATAGGGTGGAGTTTCTTCTTTTATTTTATCTTTGGATAAGGATTTAGTAACAATTTATGTTTTTACCTAAATTATTCTTTAAAAAAAAAAGACAAAGTTAAAGGAAATTATTATCTATTTACTTTAATTAATTTCTTTATTACAAAAGTCTCTATTTCTCTTTTAGATTTTTTTCAATAGTAACATGAGTAATAAGATTTAGTTTGACAATACTATCCGATGCTCTTTTATAATTGTAACTATTAGAAATACTATGTTATACTGTCATGAAAAATATTTTAGTGCTTAGTAATTATATTTCAAAAGAATTATCTATTGTAAAATTATTTAATTAGACACCTTATTATTTAAAATTTAATTAATTCCTAATTTAATATATAATGTACAAAAAAGATTTGAGAATTTTATTAAATTATTTTGGAATTCTATTAATTTTAGATAAGATGATTTTTGTATTCCTTTCCAAATAAGTAGGAATGGATAATTTATCAAACACATAAGCTACAAAAAGTTCTGCAAATATATGTGAAAAGTATTGTATGAAGTGTTGTCAAACAAAACCTAAAATGTTTCCAAATTCTTAATTTGGAAATAAAGATAAAGAAATACTATACTTTTTTTTTTTCAAGATAGATATTTTAAGTTAAAGGGATAATGATAAAGTTTAACAAGGGAAAATTTTTTGTTTCCTTTAAAATATGAAAATAAAATTATTAATATGAGATAAATTTTAAATATCTACCATTTCTTCTGTTCATTTTAAGTAGTTTTAGTTTAATTTTTTGATTTTTTAACATGAATTTTAGATGAAAATTTAAAATATTATGTAAATAATAATTGAAATATTTTTTATCAGATAAAAATACTCAACAAAAACTTCATATGGTAAGAAAAAAATTTTCAATTGTTCTTTATAAAAATTGTTAAATTTTTATTTAAATTTTATGTTTAAAAAATTAAAAAATTAAATTAAATCTATTAAAAATAAAAGTAGACAGTACTATTTTGGGTAGAAGGAAGAGTAATGTAAGGGAAAAACTACTTTGATGATTATGTTCTTTAATTGCATAAAGCAAAGCCATTTTTTCCTTTATTTTAGAACTTTTTTATTTTTTATTTTTTTGGTGGTTGGTGGGATTGGGGATGCTGGTGCAAGGTGGGATACTCCCCCTGCCATATTTTGAGGGCAAAGCCTATTTTTAGTCTCTTACTTTGTCAAGTTTAAAAGTTTTAACCCCTCACTTTATACTATGACATTTGAAGCCCCTTACCTTATTAGATTTGTAAGTTTAGCCAATCATCTTATACTATGACACTTGTAGCCTCTCATCTATTAAAATTGAAGAAAATAATCCTCACTTTGTAATATTTTGTTAGTTCTGTTAATTCTGTTAGTTGACTATTAATTCTATTAGCTAACTGTTAGTTCATTGTTAGTTGTCAAAAACCTTCTTTCAGCTAATAGAGTTAACAGAACTAATTTTATAATATTTCATTAATTTTATTAATTGGTTATTAGTTAACTATTAGTTGATAGAAATATACTTTCAGCTAACAGAGTTAACAGTTAGTATAAAGTGAATGCTATTTTATTTGATTTTAATAGGTGAGAGGCTAAAACCTACAAATCTAATAAGATGAAAGGTTAAAGGTGTTATAGTATAAGGTAAATGGTTAAAACCTTCAAATTTAATAAGATGAGGGGTTAAAAATAGGTTTTTACCTATTTTGAGGGACTCGACAAGGAAGGAATTTTGGGAGCAGAAGGTGCAATTCAACCCTTCTACTTACAATGTTGTGGCATGTTAGCTTTTCTACTTTAAATTAGTGCAAATCAGGCCCTCAATTACTTGAAATTCTCAAATAAGCCCTTTTAGTAAAGATGACATTATTTTTCCATTAACCCCACTAAGATAGGATGATTAGGTAATGATTGGGCAATAATTAAGAAATGAGTTAAATAAAAAATGCAATTTAAGAATCTCTAAAGTGATAAATCATTAATTACTCATTGCCTACTCATCACTTACTCATCCCATTTTAACAAGGCAATGGAAGGTTTAACATTATCCATGTTATGGATGGTGATGACAGGTGGCAAATGGCTATTGGTGAATATGTTTCCGAGAAAGTATTGGGTCCCACACTTAATTGTACTAACTACTAAATAGGGAATTATTGTGCGGTGGCTATAGGCACAACACCTGTTCAATTTTTGTTGTGATATACGTAGTTTGAGATAATTATTGTTTGTCAATAATTTAATTAGTTTAGTAATCATTTTATTTTTGTTAGAAATAAAAAATTTTGAATTCGAGTTGCGGTGAGATAGGATAAGGGATGAGAGATGATTACCTCTTATTATGCAATGAAAATAAAAAAAAAAAAGAAGATAATTATCATTTTTTAATTTTTAAATTAATAAATTTAAGAATAATTTATATATTTATTTATATTATTATTAAAAAAATTAAAAAATAAAGTAAAATTTTTTGTAATAAAATAATTAATTAATATGAATAAATTATGATAAAGTTAAAGTAAAAAATACTTATTTATTCTAAAAAATTTAAAATAATAATTAATTTGAGATATTTAAAATCAAATACGATAATTGTTTTGAAATGAAGAGAATAACTATTAAGAACAACATATAATTAATACTCTTTCTGTTAAATTTTAGTAAATTTCATTTTTTATTTAGAGTATTTAAATTTATTTATTTATTTTTAAAAAATGTCATTTAATAAGTTTATTTTTATTTTACTCTCATTTTAAAAAGATAATTATCAAATATATTATGTAAAAAGTCTTATTTAATTAATATTTAATTAAAGATAAATATAAATTTTCATTACATCTTTATTTTATTAAAAAAATTAGATAAATTAAAAATAAATAAAAAGAGTAGTGAAATAATTGATATTTATTCTTTTTGTCACAAAATAGTTATATTTTTTTACTTTAAATTTATTATAAATTAATTATTATTTTTTATTTTAATTCTATTTTAGCTATTTATTTTTATAAATAATGTATATTCGTGAAATATGCATTAAAAAATACTTCTTTCATCCCTAACTTGTTTTTTTACTTTAAATTTATTATAAATTAATTATTATTTTTTATTTTAATTCTATTTTAGCTATTTATTTTAATTAATTATCTAATTATAATTATTTTTTTCTCATATCAAAACTACTTTAAGCCTTTAATAACACTTACAAGTGGCGGGGTTGGGGAGTCCCTCCCAACCATTTGCGAGGACCGGGATCCCTGTAGAGATTTCTTAGGGTTGACAAATTTTGCCCTCCATCCCCACCAATTAATAACAAAATATAAAGTTTTTACATATAATTAATTAATATTAAATTACAATGAATAAAATTTTAAAAATTCAAGTAAAGTAAATTAAAATTCTTTAAATATAAAATCAAATATAAACTGTCCAAACATAAATATAGATCAATTCAACATAAGTAGTTAAACTAACAAATTAATTCCAAATATAAATAAAGATCAATCTAACATAAATAGCCAAACCAACATACTTGTTTCAAACATAAGCAAAAATCAATCCAACATAAATAAAATAATTAACTCAACATCTAGATTCTGGCATGGATGGAGGGCAATGCAAAACACCTTAGCTTGCAAAATTCACATTTGCTCATAAAAATCCTACAATACAATTAATAAATACAATTAATAAATACTTTATGTTAACATATTTATAGAAAAACTATTCATATTATTAGTATAAAAAAGGTCATGTATATTTTACCTTTGAATTATTTTCTTTATCACAACCCACATCATCGTTAAGAGTAAAGAAGCTTACATCATTCAAAGAACCTATTTCAAACAAGAAAATTTAGATTAAAAATTAACTACTTAATTAAAGAACAAAAGAAATATACCATAAAAAATAAAAGAAATAAAAGGTTCAGGGTTAGTCCGACCCCAACAGCAGCTCCAGCCTTCAACAGCAGTAGTGTAGTCTTACTCAAACAGTAGCTCCAGCCTCCAACAACAACAGTGTAGTCCTGCTCTGATAGCAACTCTAGCCTCCAGCAGATCAGTAGGCAGCAATGGAGGGATTTAGGGTTACTAGGTTGGGAGGAAAGCAAAGGTGAAAGGTGAGAGAGTCTGATTTGAGAAACTAGAAGTGAGAAAGATTGAAAGAATGAGTGTTGAGCAAGAGCAGTTGGGTTGAGTGACTTGAGTTTGAGATTATTGACTCTTTGAGTGCCAACAACAGAAGGGGAGGGGAAGGTTAAAGTGATGAGATGAGTAAGGTTAGGGTTAATAATTAATGGGTTGGGTTGGGTTTGAAATGTATATTATGTATTAATATAATGGGTTAAATTAAATTTAAAATAAAATTAATTTATATATTTTTTTAATTTTTGTAGGGATGGGGATCCTTACAAGGCAGGAAAAATTCCTTGTGAAATTTCATGGCAAGAAAATATCCCTCGTCCTCACCCCGTAGCAAGGATCCCCGTAGGGCCTTATAGGGGTCGGGGCAAATTGCCACCCATAACAACACCACATCAAGACATGCTTTGGTTTGCTACTTGTTGGTTGTGGAAGAAACACCCTAACCTTTATATATTTCTTAAGAAAATAATTTGTAGAATTTTTGTTTTAATGCACTCTATAATATTTATTAATTTAGTTATTAAAATTTATAATTTATAATTTTTTATTTTAATTTAAATTTAAAAATAATAATTTTATAATAAATGTACTATTAAGAGTGTCGAAAATCTAACAATCATTATCCATACTCCTAAAAAAGTAGATGTAAACAGGAAAAATCATAATGGCCCAAAAAAGAAATTCATAAAACTTGACAATATAGGACAAGAGAAAAAAATATATATAAATAAGAATACTAATTTTGTATTTTTTTTGTTTAAGATTATTAATTTTATTAGTTGTTAAATAAAAATGTTATCTTTTAATTTTTTATTTAAAAATGTTAACTTTTAATTTTTTTTATTTAAAAATATTAACTTTTAACATTTTTAATTTAAGGATACCAATTTTTAACATTTTTAATTTAAGGAGATCAATTTTCAACTTTTTCAATTTAAGAATATCAATTTTCAACTTTTTTTATTTAAGGACCAATTAAATGATAATGCTAACATGGTAAATAACTATGAATGTTGAAAATTGACATTTTTAAATAAAAAAATTAAAAATTATCATCCTTAAATAGAAAATCTTAAAAGTTAACATTTTTATTTAGAAATTAACAAAATTAATATTTTAAAATAAAAAAATATAAAATTAACATCTTTATTTACACTTATTCTTTAGGACAAGAATGAAAATTATTGACCCTTCTTTTTACATTGAAAAAAAAAAATTATTGGCACAATACATTTCCTCAGTGATCATATGGTGAGGATTCAAGCCTTCATTCTCTCCTCTAAAGATTTCAACTAGTTAACTTGTATTATAAAAAATAAAAATAAAATAAAATAAAATAAACTTGACAAAATAAGACAATAACGAAAATTGATGTTCTTCTAAAACAAAAGGTTTAAATTTTCTTTTAAAATTGTTACGTTAAAATAAATTATTATTAAAAAAGTATTGACACAATTTTTCATCCTAAATATTTATTTTTAAAAAATTAACTCAAGTTTAACCATTACCACTAACTTTTCACTAAATTTTAAGAATAATAGTTTATCAAAATTTAGTGACAATCCTTAAATTTGAACTGATTATTAAAAATAGAAATTTAAAGGGCAAATTGCTTCAATATTTTTATTAAGTGGTAATTTACTTTAACACGACATTTTTAAAAATTAATTTACACATTTAACCTTCTTCTAATAGTAGTACTTATTTGATAAGTGCTCCTACTCCGTATAAGTCAAACACATTCCATGCCATTACTCTAATGATCATGTCTTAACTAACATTAATTTTGCTATTTATACGGAATAAATCTAAAAATGAATTGCTTAGGTTTGAAAATAGAAAAAATGGAAAGAAAAAAAAGTTGTGGGCAACAGTAATATTAATACGTGCGTATATTATTAACAATCTATTAATTTAAATAAAAAGAATTTAATTTTTCTTAATTAAAATTTTAAATTTGAATTCTATAATTGAAAAAATAAATGTTGAAAAAAATTTTCCCTTCTCTTTCATAGAGTCTAACTTGAATTAATTCCAAATAATTGAGTTTTGTAAAAAGGAAAAATATGTATAAGTACTAGTTAACTAGCAAATATTGTTCAGCTATATTTTTTTAGATGAATCGAAGTTTATAAATACAGGAGTACAAGGGTATTCAAACTGTATACAAATTATCTAAAACTTCATAGGGAAATTACAGAACTCCCCTTCACACCCAAGTGATAAATCACAACATAACAAGACAAACCAAAACGGAAAACAAAGCATAACACAAAGAAAAGTCATGCCACATCCGACAGAAACTCGGTGCCTTGCAAGAAGCAGAACGAGGTGGACCAGAAAGCAAAGGGTTAACTGAACCTGATACAATTTGCTAGAAACTGACACCTTTCATGATAGGCAAATGCAATCCTCTTTGCTTCCCACAAATCCATGCAAGCAAAGGATCTTCTCTTGACCAATTGATTCGAACACACACTCTTCATCCCAAGATGCTGACTCGAATAATAGAATTTGTTGTATACCAAATTTTGTTCAGCTATTGGATATGGATATCCAAAAGATTTACAACTAAAAAGCAGGAGATTTAGGTTGGATTGGGATTGTGACAGTTTTGGTCCAAGACCATTAGCCATCATCAACTTCTAACAACCTCAATGAAATCAACTATATACAACAACACCTTTTTGCAAACCACTGTTTTAGAATTTGCTTTTTCAATCCTTATCCATGCTTTTACTTTTGTTTCCAATATTTGCTCTGTCTCATCTCTATATGTACCCCTTATCATTTTCTCCAAAATTTTTCTTAATTGCTTGAGTAGAAGAAGAGAATGTATAGAATTGAAAATTTTGGTATACTAGTTAACAAGACCTCAACATGCCATACTGAGAAAGAATGCATTTATTACTAGTGCCGCAAGAGTTATAAATCCAATGTGCCATTGGATAATTAATAAACTTATCAATTTCAAATTTTGAGTTGTAGTTCTTGATATGATATTAGAGTCATTTAATAAAAAGGAAATTAATTATTATTTAAAAAGTGAAATTTTTGTCGTATGATTCTATTACAAGATTAATGTTAATTAATGCTTAAAAAGGCATTCGTACCAACAATAGTAGTTGAATCACAGAATGATATAAATTGTTGCGATAGTCGCGTTGAGTTGCCCTTGGTGGAAAATATTCCTATATGTTTTGAAGATTAAATGAGTTAAATCAAGCAAATTGTATTTATGTCAGACACTGAGATAATGATGAAACACCATCTTCTGTTCTTTTTTTTTTTTAATTTAATTACATAATGAAAAGTAATCATCTTTCGTCCTTTATTACACTTCACCTGCATGACTTGTGACTCAAACTTAAGATCTCTTATTTCTAATAAAAAAAGATGATCATTAAACTATTTAGATCATTAGCACACCATGCTCTGTTCTTGTAGGAGACAAATTGTAATTTGAATGAGATGGTTGTGCCGATAAGTTGTTACAAATAATTGCTCCCCATGTGTACGTTTATAGGAACAATGAGAGGTAGAGAGCGAGCAGGTTTCTACGGCAGGGGAACACGAGGCGGAAGGACGGCACAGCGTTGGGAGAGTTTCAGTCTCAGAAGATGGAACCGACCTGAGCAAGATGGGAACGCAGCACGTCAGAAAAGTTCATGGAATACAAACATTCAAGGAATAGACAGACGGGTATTCAACCAAGCAACTGTGTTCTTCTTCACCAATTTCCCTGAGGATTGGAGACAAGAAAACATGTGGCAAACCTTCTGCAAGTATGGTAGAGTCCTGGATATTTACAGCCCGATGAGGAAGAATAAGATGGGCAGCAGATTCGGATTTGTCAGATATCTAGATGTCAGAAATGAGAGGGAGCTAGAGATTCAGCTGGACCAGATTCGAGTGGGAAGCCTTAAACTTTGGGTAAACATACCCAAGTTCGAAGAAAAAAGAAGTTATGTGAAGATTAATCAAAGGCACAATGAGCACACAAGAAACAGGGAGAGGAGCCAAGGAGCCAGAGGGCATAGAACGTTTGCTGAAGTGGTGAAAGGAAATAGCGAGCACGATCCCAAGCCTATGAATGGAAAAGAACCGAAGGGTGATTCAGAACACCTACAAGCTCGGAACAAGAATGTTGTCCATATTCCGGCACAAGTCTGGAGAGCTAAGGATAAGGATCAAGCAAAAGCTGGCATGAGTTTTACCATTCAGGAGGAGGAGTACGCATGGCTGCAGGGATGTTACGTAGGAACCGTCCATTCAATTGAGACAATTCCAACTCTGCAAGAAAAATTCTTTATGGAGGGCTATTTTTCATGTAGAGTGAGAGCCATGGGGGGGCACCTAGTTCTACTAGAAGGGGGTGATAAAGAGGAGATTAAGGATTTAGTAGAGCTTGCTCCAGATTGGATGAGACATTGGTTTAAGGATATTAAACCATGGAACTCCTCTATAGTGGCTAAGGAGAGATTTGTTTGGCTACGATGCCAAAGGGTTACAATTCATGCATGGGGCCACAATTTTTTTGAATCAATTGGCTCGGTGTGGGGGAAGTTTATTACCTTAGATGACAGCACCAACAAAAAACAGAGGTTCGACATAGGAAGAATGCTAATTTCAACCCCTGTGATGGACTTTATCTCAAAAAGTATCACTGCTCTGGTTAATGGCGAACCTTTTAAAATCAAAGTTATGGAAGAAGAAGCTACCAACGGTATATTCTCCATGAAATCCGATCATGTGTTCAAATTATTGACAGATTCGGATGAGGGCTCATTGGAATCCTGGTCGTTACCCAACGATTCCGATGTTGAACATAATGGGGCGTCAGTTGGCTGCAAGAACACACCCACCGGAGAGGAGGAAGAAGAAGAAGTGGTAGCTGGAAGGCTGGAGCTGAGGGGAACGGATTTCGAGGAGGTTCAATCTCCTTACCGTTGGGTGAAGGAGCGCCAAAATTCAAATGGAGATCATGTGTTGACGTTGAATGACTCCACATTTAATGCTGAAGGTTCCCAAGACACGCATCAGATTGTTGAAGATGGCAAAATCCAAGCTAACTGCTCCAGCAATCATGGAGAATCCAAAGACGATTTGGAGACTGTGCTGGTTAACCAGGATAAAAAAACCAGCAATAAATTGAAAACACAAAGGAGGAGGGAACAGAACAGGCCCCTTGAATCGTCTAGCCCAGCAGAGCATAGGGGAATTTGGGCCAATAACAAGTACAGGCCCCTTAATGGACCCTCATCCAAGTCAAATGACACTGATTTTAGTAATGTGGTGGCAGATAGCTTTCTAAAGGATACTGGGCCCAATCAACCTTTTAAAGAAAACACAAGGAACGAGACACCTCCAATGGAAGCTCACATGGGAGGACAGAGCAAATCACCTCCAATGGAGTGTTACACTATAGGACAGAGGCGTGACTTCTGGAAAGGCTTTGAGTCCGAATTAGGGGAAGAGCACGCATGGATGGGCAGAAATTTGAAGAAAGCGAAGCATAGAAGAAGGAAGAAAACCAGATCGTGTCTCTCCATCTACATGGGAGAAAAAAAGAATGAAGAACAGGGGCTCATTTCGAAGGGCAAAAAACAACCAACTAAGGGGAAAGGAAAATAGGAGTTGGTATCGAAATTCTCACCTGGATCCAGAAATCAAGTAGCTGGAGAATCACTTAATGACAGCGGCATTGAGAACAGAAATATGTGCTTGAGGAAAGCTACGGATCAGAATATGGCGGAAAGAATATGGGCTTTTGCTAAAGAGATCGGCGTCGGTGACAGGGGGAATGATATTGAGGTGATTAGGAGACTAGAAGACATGGAAGATCGAGATAGAGAGCTGTGAAGAACGCTTAAGGTTAGTAAAGCTAATTCAGAGGGGTTTGGCTGTATTAATTTATCATGATTCTCTTGTCGTTAAACATAAGAGGACTGGGGGGGAAGGGTAAGAAAAGTGGAATTAGAGAAATTATTGTTTCTGAAAAAGTAGAGTTTTTATCAATTCAAGAAACGAAGATGATGGAGGTCGATTTTCAGTTGTGTAAATCTATTTGGGGGGCAGAAAATTTTGACTGGGTAGCCAAACCGTCTAGAGGAGCATCTGGAGGGCTCATATGTATTTGGAATAACGATATTTTGAAGAAAGAAAAAATAATAGAAGGGGAGAATTTTGTGGGGGTTCATGGCTTTTGGGGGGCTTCCAAAATCCCTGTTTATATCTTAAATGTATATGCACCTTGTGACATGATGGGAAAAAGAACCTGTTGGTCCAGCATTAAGGAGCTAATGATGGAAGCAGAAGGAAAATGGTGCCTCATGGGTGATTTTAACGCCATAAGAAATCAGCAGGAATGGAATGGAGGGAGAACCAGTCGAAGGGATATGGCAGAATTTGATGAATTTATTAGAGAATGTGGCCTTGTAGATCTTCCCTTAATTGGCAGAAAATTCACATGGTACCAAGCAAATGGAGCTGTAATGAGCAGATTGGACAGATTTTTACTGTCAGAGGAGTGGTGTGAAAAATGGGATGACATGAAACAATGGGGTTTAAAGCGCACAATATCGTATCATTGCCCAATTTTGATGAAAAACCAAATAGTTGATTGGGGCCCAAAACCATTTCGATTTTTTGATATGTGGCTGGAAACACCGGAGTGCAAAGAACTAATGACAAAGACATGGAACTCGACAGTGGTTTCTGGATGGCATGGTTTTCAATTAAAAGAAAAGCTCAAGGCAACGAAGAAAGTTTTGAAAGGGTGGAGCAAAAATAAGGCTTCTGAGATAGACCTCAAAATTAATATGTGTAAAGACTCTATTACTGCCATTGATTTGAAAGGGGAAGAGACAGCCATTAATGAACAAGAGGTGCAACTGAGGAGGAACAGCTTCCTGGACTTATGGAATCTACAGAATATGAAAAAGAGTATGTGGCGTCAAAAAGCTAGGAAGACTTGGATCAGAGATGGTGATGCTAACACTAAATTCTTCCACAGGTGCGTCAAAGGAAGGAGACGGAATGAAATAGTTGGCATAAAAGTGGGAGATAATTATTTGGAACAAGTTAATGAAATCAAAGGAGGGGTGGCAAACCATTTTGAGAACCTGTTCAAAGAAGACAAGTGGCAACGTCCCCACCTTGACGGAATTCCTTTTAAGAAGATCTCATCAGAAGACAATCGCTCATTGGTCGCTCCTTTCAGTGAAGATGAAGTAAAAAAAGCAGTGTGGAGTTGTGGAAGCTCAAAAGCACCGGGACCGGACGATTTCAATTTCAAGTTTATAAGAGAAATGTGGGAAACAATAAAAGACAGTGTAATGGGGTTCATTGATGATTTTCACAGAAATGGAAAATTGGTTAGAGGTGTAAACAGCTCATTCATTGTGTTGATACCCAAAGTTACTAATCCACAGAAAATAGAGGAGTTTAGGCCCATATCCTTAATTGGCGTCATGTATAAGGTGATAGCGAAGCTCCTTGCTAACAGAATCAGCTTAGTATTGGACAGCATCATTGGAGAAAGCCAAATGGCATTCATCAGGGGTAGACAAATGGTGGACAGCATAGTGATTGCCAATGAAACAATCGATGCAGCAAAGAGAAAGAAGATGGCTAGCTTCATGTTCAAAATGGATTTCGTGAAGGCCTACGATAAAGTATGCTGGGATTTCCTAGATTACATGATGTTGAGAATGGATTTTGACCCTAAATGGAGAAGGTGGATCACAGCATGTCTGGAGACAGCAGAGATGTCAATCCTAATCAATGGCAGCACTACAAGGCAATTTAAAATCAGCAGAGGGCTGAGACAAGGTGACCCACTCTCACCCTATTTATTTCTACTGGTGGCAGAAGGCTTTAATGGCATTATCTCCTCTACAATCAATCATGGGCTCTTCGAAGGAATTGACATTGGCAATGGAGGTATGAAAGTGTCTCATTTACAGTTCGCCGATGATTCGATTCTATTTGGCAAGGCTGTAGAGAGGAATATTTGGGCAGCAAAGAGTATAATGAGAATTTTCGAGTTGGTATCGGGACTGAAGATTAATTTTGTGAAAAGCCAACTCTTCGGTTTAAATGTCTCTGATGAATGGAAGTCAAAAATGGCCCACATCTTGCATTGTAAGCAAGGAGCATTCCCCTACAGATATTTAGGGGTACCTATTGGTAGCAACATCAAAAGCATTGCACTATGGAAGCCTCTGATCAAGACTTTTGAGAAGAAGTTGAGCCAATGGAAAGGTCGGTTTCTCTCTTTTGGTGGTAGGATAACTCTCCTTAACGCAGTGCTGACCAGTCTTCCAGTGTTTTCTATGTCCGTGCACCTGCTCCCAAGAGGTTTGATTCTTTCCTTAGATAAAATTCGTAGGAACTTTTTATGGGGAGGCGGGGAGAGCAAGAGGAAAATTAACTGGGTGTCATGGGATAAAGTCTGTAAAAGTAAAAATGAGGGCGGTCTAGGGGTCAAAGATCTTAGAAATTTCAACTTAGCTCTGTTGGGGAAGTGGTGGAGTAGATTAGCTAGAGGTGATGAGGGGCTGGTTTACAAGGTCATTTATCATAAATATGGCAGGCCAGAGGGCAGCTGGATTGAATGGGTTAATGGGAATGGCCATAGGGGGTCTATGTGGTGGAGGAACATTTGTAGAATCGACCATACTGATCTATGTAACACGGGATGGTTGTCAGGGGGGTTTAGACTGAATATGGGGGACGGTTGTTTAGTCAATTTCTGGAAGGACAATTGGACAGGGGACCAACCCCTTGCTAATAGATTTCCTAGACTTTTTCTTGTTTCTACAGACAAAGATAAAAGAATTTCTCAGATGGGAACATGGAGGGAAGATAAATGGCAATGGACACTACATTGGAGACGGTCACTATATGAGTGGGAGGAAGACAATCTTACCAAGATGCTAGAGATCATTAACAGCACATTGCCAGTAAAAGGCCAAAAAGACTGTTGGGTGTGGAGGTACAACAAGGAAGGAGAATATTCTGTCAAAACAGCTTATGGCTTGCTCTCCGGCAACAACATCAGCAACACAACGCAGACACATGTAAGAGTATGGAATAATCTCATCCCCACAAAAATTTGTGCATTTGGGTGGCAGGTCCTGCAGGATAAAATACCCACAAAACTTAACTTGTACAAGAGAGGAATCATTCTTGACGTGAATCAAGCGATGTGCAGCTTATGTGGAGGCTTATGTGGAGCCAATATTGAAGACGCCAACCATCTCTTCATTCATTGTAGTGTGGCCTACTTGGTAAGAAGCAAATGTGCTCAATGGTGGAGACTATTATTGGTTCACCCTCTGACCTGCCAAGAGGACTTTCAGCAACACCGTCATCCGTACAAAAACCCTCTAATAAGAACAGGGTGGGATGTAATATGGTTCTCCATCATGTGGTCCCTTTGGATGGTTAGAAATGCAAAAATCTTCAAAAATCAGGAGTGGGAAGTGGACAGAATTGTTGAACTGGTGCAGTTAAGATCCTTTAATTGGATTAAGGGCAGGACAACAGGTTACTCTTTCAATCTGTATGAGTGGATGCTGGAACCAGCCCTAAGCCTCAAAGACAAAAGAGTTCAGCTGAGTTTCAAAAATTAGAGGGCGAACAGTTTCCTGAAAAGCATCATTGAGCAGGTACTTTACTGTAGTGTGAGTCCTAGACCTACTGTTGGTTTAGTCAAGCTGTAGTAAATACATGCTCAATGTCTCTGCATGCCAGTGGGTTGTTATGTGGGAGTTTTATTTGATGATCAGAACAGGGTGTTCGAAGTTAACTGCAACAGAGGACATAAATTCGACACGGGCATAGTGTCGAAACTTGTTTTGGGTGTCGACACTATTGGGCAAGGTTAGTCCGCTCTTGTAAGTTTATGCCTCTCAAATATTGTTGTTTTAAGGGTTTGGGGTGCCCCTTGTACTCTGGTTATCAATATATATCTTTTTGCTGTTCAAAAAAAAAAAATTGCTCCCCATGTGTGCCAATTGAGTGCTTCCAATTGGGAAATTTTTCGGATTTGGTTGGTTTCGATTGACTTTAATGCTAAGACAAGCTTAT